TTGTCTCATAACTTCCAATCTCTATTGGGAAAAAAAAAAAATAACATATATATAAAACTACCGGGAAAGAAAGTTCCTCATGTGAGTTCCAGATGTGGGGGTCTTCATCGCTCTACATTATGTTGTGACTGTGGCTGTTGCCAGAACGCAGACAGGAAGTTTAAAGAGAAAACGTCTCTGCGGAGCACTTCCTTGTTGCTGAGAAACATAAAGCGGATAGATGCGCTGGGCCTCTTAAAATAAAATCCATGATGGGAAGTTCCCATTCCCCTCTCTTCATCTAATAGTAGAACCATTGTTTTACTGCATGTTGGATTTTGCACTAATTTGACTTTGTTAAAGGTGGGATATCCATGACATGTGCAAACAGCCAGTGAAATTAGCCTGATACCTATCCTTGCAGTGACACAAAATATTAACAGTTTGTGTCATTAGCTCAGAATTAGCTCTCTCCCCATATCCCAAGTATCCATCTATGACAAAGTCGGCCAACTCTCTATAAGGATGCATTTTCCTGTGTCCTTCTCCTTCACTCCAATATGGCTGACCAGATGCTGAGGTCACAGCAAGTGGCGGTTGGATGGTAATGGCGCAGCTGTTGAATTTGGGTTGTTGGTAGGGGTGCCAGTGTTGCACCAGATGGCGCCCGTGGGATGGGGTTGATTGGAAAAGAGGATTTCTTGCCAGATGCTGAGCGGTGACCGGCTATAGCCAGATGCTGGGGTCAGGAGATCTAGCAGGGAAAGGCAGAGACACAGCTGGTTACTGTGGACCCAGGGTTATCCCCGCTCTCTCCAAATCAGGTCACAGACAGAGCTGATGATGCTGCTAGGAAGAAAGCTCTGGTATGATATGCACCTAGATATAAATTCCTTTGATGTTTTCACTTTTCCTTTTGTTGTGTTTTCCCATTTCATGTTGCTCCGTCCTCTCATCCGTCCGTCCTTGGCTCAAGGAGCATAGCAAAGGTTGTGAGTCAGGTACATGCCTTCCAGGAGGCTGTATACCCCTACAGCCCCGACCGGGACCTGCAGGCCTACCTCCGACGCCGCATCGCCCGGCTCGCCACCTCTGACATACACCTCTTGGCCGCCGACAACGACGCCAACTTCCAGCAGTCCAGCGAGCGACAAACGCGGAGGATCCAGGACACGCTGAGGAGGGTTAAGGCCACTTTCCAGTGAGCCCTGCCCTGGTCACATCTCCCTGCCCAGAGCCAGACACCACCACCAGGTTGACACCTCATGTCCAAGCCCAGATTAAGAATCCAGGCCTAAGCCACGACCCTCAGATGCCTCTGTTGACCTGACAGCTGAGCCTTGTGGGCTGGAAAACTTATTTTGCTGTTGTATGTTCACTATTTGTCAAAGGTCCCTTAACTTAAGTCCCTAATATCAGTTTAGACTAGACTCCCAGATAAGCTTTAATTATAACTCATACCCTTAAGATTACACAGATATAGCTGTTGATCACACTGGTTTCTTTCACATATCTCTTTGGTTTTGATATTAGCTTTCACAAAGAGAAGTGATGAGCAATGTTTGTAATTTGAAACGATTCTTCCTCAGATCACAGGCTGCGCTTTTCAGCATTATTTGTGAACTTAGCTTTTATAACCTATAAATAATCATACGTGGACTGAACATGGCAGCAATGTAGATGCATGTCAAGGCTGGATTACCAACATGGCAAAGTGGGCAATTGCACCAGAGCCCGAGACCCCCGGGAGCCCCCAAAAGCCACAGGTTCACTGTGTAGCAATGTGGTAATGTGATCAATTGTAACCTTGTTTGGGAATATGCACCACTAAAGCACAATATCAGCTGACATGATGAGGGCCTTTGGGTGGAATTTTTTGTCCATGCCAGCAGCATCAAAAACTTGCAGAAAAAGTTACAGTCCCTTCAGATTTCGAAGCTGTTAACCATCCCACATCCAGTTCTGGTAGAGAATACTGGCCTCTTGTGGCCCTGTCTTAAAGAAGGGCTAAAGATCTAGTTTTAAGGCCTTCATTATTTCATATGATACTGTGCTTGCGAGGTCCATATTCCTAAATTTTATTACATTTAATGTTATCACCACGCAGCAAACCTGGGAACATGTGACATTCCAGCGGAGTAATGCTGTGCACATTACTCAGAAAGGAGAAGGAGGTAAATAGAGGCCCAACAGCTAAGTTTTACCCCAGGTCCCCTTGCAGGACAATCCAGCCATGTCAGACATTCAAATACAATCTATTTGATGTCATTGAAATGTGTTTGACTTGTAGGAAACTAGATTGAATAATACAGATTGTGTTCCATTCATTGAACCGTTTATTGATCATATATTTGGCTTAACATGCAACAAGTAGTCTCTGTTTGTTTACAAATTAGGAGTATACCAAATTAGATTTATATGACTAGATTGGTAAATTAATATCTAATATCAATCCCATGTAAACAGCACAATGTGAAATTATTGCATTTATTATAGTGTGTCGTGAAGGGCAAAAGCTAGGCTGACTGTCATGACAATACCTTACCATTACAGAGCAAGTGATAGAACGTAATGAGATGTCAGTGTGAAAAATGTTATTTGAGGAACGATGTTCAGTCAGTGTCTATTTTCTATTTTCCTGCCCGCTCCCTCTCTTCCATGGTCTTCTGCCGTGAAACGCACCGTGGAGATGGAATGTGACGTGCTATGAAGATTTGCTTAATTTAGCCAAATAAATGAGATTTTATAAGCCCTGTCTTGCCCAAGCGTATTATTGTCAGACAATATCCGTGATGGAATGTCTCTGTGGCAGGTTACAGCCCTGTTCCATCTGCCAGGGAATGTGGTGGGAGGAGCTGATGCTGGTCTTCCTCTTCTCCTATAAGGATTTAAAGTGTATGGTAATGACTTCATAGTGTGTGCTCTCTGGCATTTCCTCCTCTTAATTATCACTGGAGGATTTGCTGTGCTGTAATGGCTACATGGATACAAAAACTGGCACAAGGACATTTTTTTTTTATCTCTAAATACTTTCTTCTGACCTTATTACAATCCAATGTATGTTCAGGGTCAATTAGACCTCTTATGAACAAACTGAGAAAAATCAAAATAGAAGTATTTGTTATTTAGTGCTGCCTGAACAGTACTGGTAACTCCAATCACAGATATAGAGCAGCTCAATCCATCTCTGAGGTTTTCTGAAACATATCATCAGTTCAAAATCATAAACAAGATACTCAGAGCAGTGGTGAATTCTAACTATCCACATTTACTCAAGTACTGTACTTCTGCACAATTTTGAGCTACTTGCACTTCACTACTACTTTAGCTACTTGCGCTTGCAGAATGCTACTTTATACTTCTATTTCACTACATGGGAAATATTATCTACTCCACTATATTTATCTGACAGCTAATGTTAAAATAATAATTACTTTAATTAGGACAATATTATACAAAAAATGTATTTCTACAGTTTGCTATACTTTTACTGAAGTAAAGAGCTGACTTATTGTGGACAGTAAATATTGCCATGAATAACCTTAAAAGGCTCCAATAAAAACATTCCTGTGTGTGTGTGTGTGTGTGTGTTGATTTGATTTACTATGTGAGTAGATGCAGGATTGTTGTGCCATTTCCTAACAGCACAGAACAAAGTACCTTTTGCATTATTTGTCCTGTCCAGGCTCTAGTGTTTCAGTGAAAATTAGAATACAGTCCCTTCTTCTAGCTTCTTCTCTTGGACAGAGCACCATGCCGGCAGGGCTGAGGAAATAGGCGCAGTGTGAAGGCGACGTCCCGGGCGTTTTTTATTGTTATCTAACGGGATCAGGGCGCATCTTCAAAGCTTCAGAGATAAAGAGTCTCAACATGCTGAAGGGACTCCTGTCTCCACAGCGACAGATCACCGATAAAGGAGACAACTAGGCCCAGCGTCTTATCTGCTTTGTCATATAACTAAACGATCAGTTTAGTGGCATTGTTCCTAAGCCGCTACATGCAGAGATCTCTCAATTGAGGGTCCCCAAATCCCTCAGGTCAGGCGGTGCGTGGAAAGATGTCTCTCGGTTTATTTGGCACATAGACGTGATGTGATACTGTCAGCCATTACAAATAGTGGAAGACTGAGCATTTAATGAAAAGCATATATTCCTAGTTTGCCTTGGGATAATCTAAGTGAGTTAATAGTGATTTTACTGATTTAAACTAAATGACTACCTCATGTTTCTATGGACTTGTTTGCGCTCACAGGGTTTTCCCAGCTGCCTTACAGCTTGTTTTAGCATATTTACATTTGAACGGGCCGACAATCAACCGTAATTGTGTTACTACTGTAATACCTTTGATCCGTAATGTTTGAAGCGCCTGTGCCAAACGCTGGCTTTTGGGTAGCTGGCGCCAGCGCTCACCAGGGTACCAAAGACATGTCAATAAGAAACCATCTACGATCGCTTGTGTTTCCCCATTTGACTGCTGGAGATATTTGTTGGGGTTTGAGTGGCTTCGATGCAGAAATGCTTTATGAATAGGCCTACCTCTAAAGTTGTTTTACGCATACAATCAGTTTTGTTCATTTTAATGCTTATTTCTATTTGGTCACTGTTAAATGTCTTTTATTGACCTATGGCCACATTTGTATGCCAGATGTAGTTACTCAGATTACCTTTTTTTTTCAAATCCTTCCTGTCCACATATCTCCAAATTTGGTGATTTTGAATTGGATTTCCAATAAACTAAATGATGAAATGTAAATTCTCCAACTTGTTGAGCTAAATATTTACCACCCACCCCAGCATAATAAGCTTATAGAATATGATACATTGGTGTGGATTAACCTACCCAACAGCCCAAATGAGCACTGCATTAAACATATACAACAGTAAAATGGAACATATATGTTAATGCAGAAGTAATATTAATCCAGAAACATCATCACAATATCCAGGGAGAAGTGTTCACATCATTTACTTATGTGAAAGCAACACCTCAGAGGTTTCTGCATGGCCCCTTGTTTCAGTAGGGGCGGACAAATGTATGAGCTCAGGAGGGTTCTCACAGACTCAGCGGCGCCAGGTCTTCACACACTCACAGGATATGTAAAGACTTCAATAACGAGCCATTAACCTCTAATCATCGGGATCGATCAGGCGTTAACAAGGGCCCCTACATATGCAAATTGCAGCGAGGGCCAGTGCCCTATAAAAGCTGACCCTGGACAGGGGCTTCTACCACACACTCCCTCTGACACTTGGATTTACAGGTCACTGATCAGCACTGCGAACATGGTGAAATACTTTTCTGTGGACTGGCTGGCCCAGAGCCATCACAACACGGATACAACTGAAGACCACGGAGCTGGCACGGATACTGCGCCTACCTGCAGACCTCATATTCCCTGCATGGTGCAGCCATGTCCGCCAACTTATGGCAAGAGTTACCTGCAGCCAAAACCCAAAGCATCAAAGCCCATTGAACACATGGAGCAAGTGGAGAGCGGCGGGATCCTGGACTCCAACCTGTGCTCACCTTTTCATCCAACAAGCTGCGCCTCACCAAGTAGGTAGCCCACAAACTGTAACCTGATTCATTACAGTCCTTCAGTCTTGACACACAAGCAGTGTTTGTAACCAGATTTTTAATTTCTTAAGTTTCAGAAATCAGCGGGTATTCCTCCGGATACGAGAGCGAAGCGGCTTCCTCTGAGTGTCACTACTTGGACGAGGGAAGCGAATTGGAGAAAGACGGACCTCAGCGTCGTGCGCGCACAAAGTTTACTCCAGAGCAGATCAGCAAGCTGGAAAAGATCTTCAACAAGCACAAATACCTGGACGCTGGAGAGCGAGTGAAGACAGCACAGAAGCTCAACCTCACCGAAACTCAGGTAAGACGAGAGTCCCATTGCAAACATATCAGTAACATTTTACTGACAGAATCTCTCAATCTGCATTGATCTGGAAACTAACTTCATTTTTGCTTTCTCTCAGGTGAGGACCTGGTTTCAGAACAGGAGGATGAAGCTAAAACGTGAGGTTCAGGACTACCTCTCTCCTCAAGTCACACCGGTGATGTTCCAGCCTCTGCCCCCGGTTCAGTACCACAGCATGGCCGGACAGCGACCCCACTACCCGGCGACCAGCCCGGCCTTTTACCAGCTCCCCGTCCCGCAGCTGGTTCTCCAGCAGCAGATGCCTCCTTACCACCCTCCTCATGGCGTGATCCTCAACCGACATTTCTACTGAAGAACTGTCAACTAGAGACTTTTCCAACTGAAACACTTAGAATCCAAACAAGTGCAATACAAAGTTATTTTTATTTGATATGATTTTTATTATATTTGATAAAAGTTGTATATAATTTACAGAAAAGTATATTTATCATTGAATAAAGTTTATTCTATACTGCATCACTGGACTCAGCATTTTCTTTGCTTTGCAAACAACATTTAAGCTATGCTGGCCTTGTGCCAACAAATGGGGAAAAGCTGATATTACATTTATTGCTGGGTTAGTTCAACATGAATAGATCATCCTCCCTGATCTCAGTGGGGGGTGGGGGGTGGAAGAAAGAACTGATAAAGATGGGATTGGTCTATTAAGGTTAAAGGTTCTTATCACAGCTCATTGTATGGATATCCTGTTTTGATTCTCATTATATCAAGCTGATATGGGACATGGAGCAAAGCCCAGTCAAACCAATCCACATAAACAAAGCATACTAAATTAAATCACTGAGGATTGTGCATTGTCCATACTGTCATGTTAAAAAGATAACAAAACCATGCCACAAATATCTGATTCCACTGAGAGCATCATGCAGATGTTGGGGGTTTTCCCTTACCTGTCAATAAAGACCGACCATGTGCTCTGCTTTTATAGGAGTTGTTTGTCCCTATATCTGCACTTCAAACACCAGCTAACAGGGGAGATCATGGTCAGCAATTAGTCCCAATTAAGATGCTCATTGATGAGTTTACACTTACCACAGGAGGCCTGTGGCCTGGCTCCAGAGAGTCTGGGGTTTTGTCAGGTTTAGACCTCTGGAGTCCTGCAGTTAAAACCTGATTAGGCTATGTGATGAGATTTGGAAATTAGCAAACTTACTTCACAACAACTTCAAGATAAATAAAAGTTCATAAATGTGCAAGTTGCAGGCCTGTATTAACAACTTACTTCTAGATGATGGGACGTTATTTTAACATTTCCAGTAAAAATACTTCTCACAATATAATCATTATTCAGCTTTGGGTCATGTATGGGGTTGGAAGGTGCCCTGAGGCCCTTCAGCAAATGACTAATTCAGATAGGTCAACAAAGATCAAACAGAACTTTCTCACTCTCTGTCAATATGTTCTGACTACAGTCAGACCCACCCACTCCCACCATAATAACAAAGGCTTCATCACCAGGTTGCCTGATGCTCAAACAGCTGACTTCTGTCTGCAATTGCAAAAGTCAATCACAGATTTGACAGCCAGGACATTTTGATTGCAAAATATATTTTTAATGTGTTAAAATTATCAGTATTGTAAAACATCAACATATGGCCCAGATATCTGACCATTTAGGGAACATTAAGAATGTATATGGCCATTAGCACATTAGGACATTAGTTTTATAGAAATCGGTCTTCAATAGGGCTACACATCTGAAATTTCAGTGGCGGATATAACTCTGAGTCACTTTATGCAGAGATTTGAGATGCCACGTAACTGATACTCAGACTTACTGGCACCAGAGCATCCCAGCCAGCCAGGAACGTGAGAAAAACCACAGCTCAGCCTCTATTAACCTCAATTACAACGACCATCAAGTTTCTATCGTTCCGTTGAGATCCCTTTGCATATGCAAATAAAGATGTGACCCTCCTATATAGCGGCCAAGAGTCACCCAAGGGGCAGCAACACAGACCTGCACACACACAAACACACTGCTGCGTGAACACAACATGGCAAACCTCTCTGTAGAATGGCTTTCCAGAAGTTGTTACGAGGAGATGACTGTGCGGGGTCAGAATGCTGCGTGTCGTTCAAAAGTTCACAGTGAAACGGAGGAATTTACAAAGGAACCAAGAAGCCATTACTCCCCGAACTCGCCAAACTGTAAGTTCACTGATAAACTTTGTCTGAACACAGTAATTTGGGTAGGCATTGATTTAGACTAAATTACTTAAATGCTCCGTTCTTTTCTCCAGACAGTTGCGGATACACTTCGGGGACTGACAGCGAGGTGGGAGATGACAGCGAGGGGGAAGCCACCCAGCAACGAAGGATGAGGACAAAGTTCACCTCCGAGCAAATCAGCAAACTGGAGAATACCTTCAGCGAGCACAAATACCTGGGCTCTGTACAGAGGAGGAAGATTGCTGAGAAGCTGAACCTCACCGAAACTCAGGTGGGTTTGCTGTTACAGCGCGTCTGGAGGCCTCCAGTGACATTTCAGAGGTCACAATAACAACAGCTGATTTTGATTAGTTAGCCTGTGGGTATGTAAAGCAAGTATAACGTGGGGGACCCTGGTGCGTGTTCTTAAATATAGTAAAGTAGTGATGATTCATAGCTGAGCATATGATAATAATAAATGGCTGCCTTATATTTCCCAGGTGAAAACGTGGTTTCAAAACAGGAGGATGAAGCTGAAGCGGGAGGTCCAGGATCTGCGTCCTAAGTTTCTGTCGGTCCCATCCGCTCTGCTGCCGGCTCTGCTGTTTCAGCACCCCGCCCTGAGTGGACAGCTCCCCGCCAGCAGCGGCTTCCACCCGCAGCTGCAGCCGCTCTGGACCCTGGCCGCTCCTCCGCACCAGCACCGCCCCCACCCTGTCATCATGCCTCCACGTTTCTACTGAACATCCAAGAAGCCGATTCCCCAAAAAACTTTTGTCTAGAATCTAGATATGTTTTCCAATGTTCTCTCTAAAAGAGGGGTTTAAAAGTTACATTATGAATACAATCGCTTTTAATTTGTCCAAAGCACTACAGTATATTGAAGCGACTTGTATTTATATGATTAAAATAATAAAGTATAAATAAATAAAGAATAAAAGTATTTGTTTCCAATATTTTATGCTTTATTTCACAAATAAAACAGTACAAGTTGACTCTTCATGTCATTGTAGCCCATGTCTATCCAAAGTCCCCCTGGAATATTGACAATATTTATCTCCAGTATTATATCCGCGGTATATTACAAAAATACATATTTAAACATCTAAAATTAGATTGCTGGTTATGACATATAAAGAGGCAAACTATTTAGACAAGATAGGTTTTCCACTGAATGAACACATTTGCATTTTTAAAAACGGATGATTTGATCTTTCCAATATCACCAATATGAAAAGTAGCAGTCGGCTCTTGGTGAATAGCACGGCCACATAATCACAGTTATGACTAACTCAGGAGACCCAGCATGTTGCCAGCTGTTGAAAGATAGAAACAACAGGAACAAATGGTGCAGGAAATGTTCCTTAATGTAACCATGTTGTGCTTTATTCTCACACCTTCTGTATACCCATCTTTTTCTTTATTAAAGAAACTTCACATCGGCCACGTAGGATCACAGACAAGCTGAGTGACCAGCCTTCTCCGCTTATTTGTTACAACATCAAAAGGCATCGGGATCAGTTTGGAGTATCACAGATACAGATAAAAAGAATGATCTGCAGGCAAATATTTTCCTTTGGCGTCCGGTGCCATGGCTCCAGGCTGTGATCGCGCTCTCTGCTCCTTGAAGATTTGCATCTTCAAAGGGACTTCAAAGAGGAGGTAACTGCTAGATCATTGAGATCCATTGAGCTCTATTGTCTCCCTATTGAACAATTCGCACTTACTTGAGAGACGCGGAGATGGCGCCCTCCGGTCTGCCCAAGGTGTATATTGCCTCACGTTGAAGTCATTGGCAGCAGCTAAATAGGTAGCTGATTGAGTCATTCTGACATGAAGCGAGTGTGCCTTGTTCACTTTGATTTGCGGTTCATTATAGGAAAGACCTGCGAGGGGAGTGATTCCATCAGACATTGACATATGCTGTGTGATCTGTTTTCTGTTTAGCAGCCACATTCCTGATTACAAGGAGGTTATTCAGCGGGGCCTAGTCCCTACATATAGGAAATAAAAAATATACTGACACCTCCCACCAGGAGGCCAAATTATCAAAGGAGACTATTAGAATTCCATGCATCAGTAACTACTGTAATGGGAAGAACATTATTCATTTTAAGGTTTACTGGACCATATATCCATTTATGCAACCCCTCTATACAAACCACCAGACAGTGCCAGGCCCTCAGTCTGCAGCATTAACTGGGATTGTTCCTGGCACTAATGGCAACATGAGCATCAATAAATGATCCATTGTGAGAGGGCAAAGCATCGGTGACTTGAATGACAATGTGTGTTTCACTGATCCTTTTGAATCAGGTGAGTGGCTCGGTGAGGAGGTGCTAACAGTCTCACTGAAGCTGCAGCTGGATGGCAGCAGACAGACTGGAGACAAGGCTGGATGACAGGGGGAAGAGGCCAAATGCTGTTTACAAGTTCAGCCACAGAGGGCTGCAAATGAGATCTACAACATCAGCTGATGAGTGCTGGTGTTAGGCTTACAGTATATCACTTTCAGGGAAGTCATTTCAACTGCTCTAAATGTAGAAATAGCCTTTGGGGTTGGACAAAATAAAACAATCAGTGTTTGTGTACAGTTATGAAACTTACAGAGGTCACATATGGTAGTATGGTAGTTTAATAACTCCAGTTTCGTCAATAGTGGAAAGTAACTAAGTAGACTTACTAACTAAGTTTTGTGTATAATCTTGAGGTACTTGTACTGACTATTTCCATTTCATGCCATTTTATACTTCTAACCCACTACATCTCTGAGGAAAATATTGTACATTTCACTCAACTGCACTTATGTGACAGATAAAGCCACTGGCTACTTTACAGGTTCAACTTTTGCGTGAACATTAAATTAAACCTGAGATTCCAGATCTTTTTGGCTTGTGAGCCTCATAAGCAATGTTACGTTTCCCCTTTAAACTTCTCAGATAGTTTCATTTAAATAACAGTTTGAGGCACAGTGACGTAAAATGATGAAAACAAAAAATATTTCACAAAATTCTAAACAACTGTATGTAAAGCAGTTGAAACTAGCTCCACCTTGAGCAGCTACAACAATAAAATGCTACTTATGCATCATAATATCATATATAATAAAACATCACAGGGGCCACTATCCTGCCGAACGACTACTTTTGGTGGTTTGAGTACATTTTGTTGGTAATACAATGCAAATTTGAACTTTTACTCGTAATGGGGTGTTTTTATCACGTTTGTACTTTCACTTAAGGATCTGAGTACTCTTCTTCCACCTCTGTTTAGTTTTGATATTTTCTTTAGTCAAAGAAATAATTATGTCAGATAGTATATGGGCAGAATCAGCAGTTTATCACAACAGCCGTTTTAGCAGCAAACAAAAAGGTGAAGAAAATGGTAGAATATGTAAAAATATGACTTGTTTTATGTGGTTAAAGCAGCAATACTGAGGCAATTTCTTGGGCACTGTTGCCCATCAGAGTTGCCCAAAAAATTGCCTAGTGTATCACCACCCTAAGTCGTTTTGGTGTAAGTAAAAAATGAAAATAAAAATTGGCTAAATATCTTTATTGTGTGATTCAGCTTAAAGACCCCAAAAGTCAGAATGCATAAATGTCAAATCCAGTATTTAATGCCAAGACGTCTTTATTCAGAAACAACAGCAAACAAATGACTCAGGGGCAAACAGGTGTTATAAATGAACAGTAATGTAGCAAAAATGCAATAACACATTACTCCACACACACACACACACACACACACACACACACAATGTCATCATGAATGAATATGATGAAATGTGAGTTATGATATTACAAAAAAACGAATCACAGAGACACAAATATCACCTGTGGTCAGTGTGTCAGGATTGCTTTGCAGTCTTCCTCTATACAGTCCAGGCAGGCTGGAGCCCGGTGTGTGTGTGTGTGTGTGTGTGTGTGCGCAAGCGCTTTGAGCTGTCATGCGGAGAGGATGATGAAATGGCTGTCTGCCTGGTGGAATACCTCTGCAGCCCCATTTTCCCATGCCCTATGCCTCTTTAAAGTTACATCTGAAAGAGGTATATGCATAGGAAAAAGGAACAGCGAGTGCAAAGAGCCCTGCTGTCCTGTCGCCGCACGCTGGAGCCTGGAGGGCAGGGATGAGAAAAGCTGGTCAGATAGAAGTAGTAACTCAGATATTCTTTCACTATCTGACATCTTGAGGCAGCAGGCTTTTGCTATTAAATATGAAAATGAAACAAAATGCATATTCTATCCAAAAAATCCCCAGTAAAGTGTTTGGACAACATTTTCTTAGTTTCCAACAATTTAAAACAAAGTTAAACGAATTAGTGTATTAATTTAATTAGGCGTGAAGAGGACTTACCCCACAAAGCTCCAGATGAGTCTCTCCTGGGAACACACCTCCTCTTGGCCATTTATCCCTCCACAGGGACCTTGAAGATGTTTGAGAAAGACAAAGTTGCTGTTGTCTGCGCTCACTCAGCACTTATCCTCCCCTCTTGATTTCAAGCCATTGCGACACACCTGTGGATAACACTGATGCCTCTGGAGAAAAAATACTACACCGCACTGATACACATAGTTTGGATGCCCGTGCAAAGTTCATTGTCTGTTATGCCTGAATCACTCTAGTTAACAGTGAACTTGTTGCAGTTATTATCTCCTATCTGGCACCCGCTGTAGACGTCAGAAGCAGAGCGTGGAAGAGGGGAAACGTTCAGGACGGCTCGTTCCTGCCGTCGTTTCTTATCTGTTCAGGGGTTTTTTTTTTTTGCTCCCTTTTTCTCTCCCAGAAGAGAGGCCCCCATGCTTTTTAGCACTCAAGGTCTCTAGACAAGGACTCTCAGGGTGTGCAGAAGTGAGACACAAACACACACATGCAAACACACACACACACACAGGCCGTGTAGTGTGTAGTTCGTAGTGTGGGGAGTGTTATGGCATGTCAAGGCCAGTGCAACCAGTCGAAGATGAAACTGTGCTCTTTCCTCTGAACCTCTGAGTTTGCACTGGTAAGAGCAGCAGTCATATATCAAAGGGTTTTGTAAAGAGAGATCTATCTTAGATGATCATGTTGGCCCAGCTGAGGTCATCTCACACCCCACTGTAACTGATGATGAGCACCACAAGGAGAGTTACATGATATTCACATCTTTACAAGCTTGTTTTAGATCTGGTTGTTGAGCTTTGGTCAATACAAACATGTTTTACTTTACCATCACAGATGCTAAATCACATATTAACATAACATAAAAGTGCGCTGCCCCACTCATCATCTGTCTGTAGGAGGCTGATGTGCTCTGTATTGACAGGATTCTTCTGTGTTGTAGTGTTAAATCCATTAAAAGCAAGCTTTTATGCAAATTCATGGAGAAATAGTTTGAAAATGTATCCTATCAAAACGAAAAACGAAATTATGAGCATATATGCATATTAAAGTATGGCCATGAATACCAGGTTGCATCTAAATCGCAAAGATCTTTAGTTGCACAGTTGAGATTCAGATTGAAAAACATTCATGAGGAAAACACATTATGTGAGCTGTCTAGTTTGGAAGAAATAGAAAGTGAGTCACAGTTAACTTTATGTTGCATATATTTGTTGATTTAAGAGGGTCCTTTTTCTTTGAAAAACCCCTGAAATATTCTGGTGTACAGATGATAAAAAATGGCTGTGATGTGTTTAACTTTGTCTTTAAAGCCTGGGATAAAAGGCAAAAGTATTTAATTTATTTGTTCAAAATTATCCAGTATTGTGATTATCCATTTTGTTAGGGATTTATGCATTGTGCCGTAGACATAAAAGTCCAAAAGCCTGATTGAGAAAATTATTCCACTAGGTTTTCTTTGTTTTTTGGCTTCTTTGTCGTATGTTTGAAAATGTATATGCGGCATTCTGGACTTGGCTTTCATTAATTTGTGTGGTCTTGTAAGGCCCACAGGGGCTGGGCACAACCGTACACATGAAGTAATAAGATGTATTCTTTAGAGTGTCAATACAGTGGCCTTACTTGCAGTATGCATACAAATTAAACAATTTGAATATTTGCCACTTTCAAGCTCAGATCTTTTCCAGCCAGTCCGATATGAGTCCTCCAAACCACCACTTGGTGGCAGCCCTGACTGGCAGCTCAATGAGGTCAAACACTATTTGTATACAGTATAATGTAATTATATATTTTTTAATGTATACAGTATCATATTTACGTAAGGGTTACAGTGTGTGACACTACAATGACTGGCACAAACAGTGACTGCAGTGCAGTCAAATACCCATGCTGACAGTAAGTGAGTGATAATGTGAGCCGTGCCCCTTTGGTGAGATAAACACAAAACTATTTGATCAAGGGCTGATGAGCACTGGCATGTTTGTACTCTAACCGAGGAATATGCAGTAGTCATGGAGAGCCTGTGTTTGCTGGTATCAATCTGTACTGTACTTGTAAATACAACAGACCCTCAGTACTCTTTTGGTCACATATCTGAAAAACAAACAGCCAAAACCAACAATGGCAAACAAGTATACTCTACTGCAGCGTTTCCCCCTTTATCAAAATGTTGGACTCATTTTCCCCACGTCTCACGAGGGGCCGCTTTAAATCGGGTACAATTTAACAGGCAGCTTTTAAAATCCAGTCTTGGTTTTTCTTTTTACAGAGTCTCATTTGAGCGAGGCACATATGCAGAGTTAAGCAGAAATGTCTCACTCCCCAGAAAAAAAGGCAACAAAAGCTGCTTGTTCATCTAAATGCATCTGCCACGGAGCAGCAGCAAGTTCACTCAGCACAACATTTCAGAGCTGAAA